AGCAGGCACAGAGAGAGAGGGAAGCAAGCTCCCTGCTGAGCAGAGAGCCCGATGCGGGACTCGATCCCAGGACCCTGAGATCATGACCCGAGCCGAAGGCAGCAGCCTAACCCACTGAGCCACCCAGGCGCCCCAGGAGGTCGTTTTTTAAAGCCAAGTGACTTGCTCAATGATCTTACATAATTGAGTTTCAACTTTCCCGGAAATGTTAATCCACGAGCAGCAGGCAGTGGTGGTCACAGCACAGACACCTCCTTGCCCAGTTAAACCATAACTAAGGGGTATCCTATTAACGAAAACAACTGCAAAACAAAACAAGAAACAGAAGAAAACAACTGTGGCCAGACAGTCTAAGATTTTTGTTGTACAGCTGTTGTGGATTTTGTAATACTTTCAAGAGTTAATGAGAGGTTTCTGATCGTAGCCTCATTTAGATTTATTAATCTAAACTAGGGCCCTGCCAAAGAAGGTGAATCTTGAATCATGAAAGCCTCCTTTTAGGTCTTTTCTAACTTGGCAGTGTGAATTCAGGGGAATTAACCAGTGAGGTGAAACAGTTACAGGCACACTTTGATAACCAAAGAGGCATTGCCAGCAGTCTAGGCATTGATGGATAACCACCATCAACAAAGATAAACCCTGTTGGGGCACAGACCATTCCCGTTAAGGTAGTACTGTTAATAGGTAGATTCAGAGAGAATATTGTGTTTGCTCGTTCAAGACACAGGTCAGTTAGGTTTTCTCTTTAGCTTGAAATAAAATATTCTAAGTTTCGTAACTTACCCCACCCCACCGCCCTGTAGCAGTGGCCTGGGAGGTATGGATGATAGCATCATCTTTCCAGGCAAGTACCACTGTAAAAAAAGGGAAAAAGAAAGGGTTTCACGTTTAGTTAAAATACGAAGTCTTGATCCAGTGTCTTTGGAGGAGCGCCTTGATGTCAGCTAATCTTCCTAGTCAACCTGATATGGAGGTCTCTGGTGTTTGCATAGGACCGGATGTCTGGTGCAGTTTTTGTCAGTGGTGGGATGTGTGTCCAGGGTTCGAGTCCCTCTCCTCTGGGTGGTGAAGAGGATCTGGTATATAATCCCTTCCAAGGAAATTCCAGGGCAGTCTTTGTTCTTAGTGACTCCGAATCAGAAGAATGGGAGAAAACTGGAAACAGTATGGTGTGTCACAGCCAGATACTTGAGGAAACTTAGAATTCAGGATCCAGTCCCAATATATAGACCTTCTTTACCAAAAACACACATCCTACTTTCCTTGCATAGGGAGATGTTTCCCTTATTATATATTGAAGTTTTTAACCTTTAGAAACCTTAATTTCTAATGGAAGTAAAGAAGTAAAACAATTGCGAATGGACATTGCTTTAGCATCCTGTGACTTAGCAGACTTTAAATACTTTCTGTAATTCTAGAAACGTGCTTTCCCCAAATATCTTTAGTTCCTCTGTAAAAGGAAGGCAAAATTGATAAACCTGTGTTTAGTAATTAGCATTTCAATATTTTATCTTATTTAGAAATGATATGGCTGTTTAATGAATTTAAATCATTATCTAAATTAACAGAACTTTAAAGTTTCAGGTTATCAAAAAGATTAGGAGGAAACTAAAGTTTACCTAAAACCTTTTTATTTAGTCTTTTTAATTGTTTTTAACAATTTTGTTTAGATTACACACAAAAGCCTTAGACATTAGGCCACTGCCGCAAACTGTTTTTTTGGCTGACAGATTTTGAGAGAGAAAATGAGCTTATAAAAGTTTTGTATTTGATCTGATAACCCAAAAGACATGTCTTGTTTTAGTTTAACCAACATACTTAAACTAGCTTTTATACTGAAAGTTATCCTACATCATGTGAATTTGAAAAACATTTGGGTTCATTTCTGTAATATTTCTGAGGTTTAGAAATACTTAATAAGCACTTGTTTTTAAGCCAATTAAACAGTTCTTTTTTAAAGTAAGCTCTACGCCTAGCATGGAGGTCGAACTCAAAACTGGAGATCAACGGATGCCTGCGCTCCCACCTGAGCCACCCAGGCGCCCCATGGAGAAGACTTCCAGGACTTCTATTTCTTGGGGCACCTGGCTGGCTCAGTAGGAAGAGCATGCAACTCTTGATCCTTAAGGTCAGAGTTCCAACCCCACGTTGGGTGTAGAGATTACTAAAGAAAGAAAAAAAAAAAGATTTGTATTTGTAGAGACAGGCATACCACCCTGAATGTACCAGATCTTGTCTGATCTTGGAAGCTAAGCAGTGTCGGGCCTGGTTAGTACTTGGATGGGAGACAGGAAAGCTTAAGGAGGCTTGGCCTAGAGTTTGGACGAGAGAGGCTCATTTGCAATTTGAATTTTAACTCCCCCCAACCCCTCACATACACACTGCTTTTAGTTTCAGTCTTAGGAATTGGGGTGGTCTAGATAGGAGTTAATATTTACATCTCAAAGGCACAGGGGAAGAATGCAGGTTGCTCTGAGACTTTGGTTTTATAAGGTCAATAAGCCTTTTGAGATAAATAGAGGTTTTGGAATTGGTAATAAAAGGAATAGGTGAACTTTGAATTGCCTCTAGGGCTGCATTTCTAATTTTGCCAAGATTTGTAAAATGCAGACAGTTGCTCTCAATTCCTCAAAGAATCGGGTTATAATTTGAATGACGTCATAGGTGGGTCCACCCATCTGATTGCCTTTTTTTTTTTTTTTTTTTTTTAAGTAAATACTTTTACAAAGACTTCAGAAGATTTTTTTCTTTCCTTCTCGGTACCTAGTTTCATTTTAGCTTATGGGAGGAGGCCTAAAAAAATATTCTTATCAGGATGTGTGTATCAGCTTTCAGTCTGGCCAATGGCTGGTCCCTGAGCTACTCAAAAATTCTTTTAGGTTTCTTGTTGGTTTTCGCCTAGGACAAATAGCAAACATTTCTGGCCGTGTCAAATAACCCCCCTTAGATAGAGAAGTACTAGAATGAGTCCTCAAATAAAGGAAGATAGGAGGAAGCGGTAAGAATGAAAGCTTTTTGCTAGGTACCTTTTACAACTTTAGTTTTTCACTAGCCTTTTACAACAAATCTTCTAATGAAGATATTTTGGAATTTTGAAGTCTCTTGCATACCGTTTAAAATAGGCATCCCATTCTGTTTGATTTGAAGCCTTGCTTTTAAGTGCCCTTAAATGATTTTATCTAATTGAAATGTTTCTTGTAATGGACATTGTAATTCCTCTGAGGAAGTTTGGTAGGACCCTAGCCACAATTAGAATTTAATGTGCCTTTCTGTGCAGCATATCTAGCTGTAAATGGGGTATAATCCACATTTCTGTCTGGCCTCATTTTGGGGCTGCCAATCTGATGGTAACCAAGCCAGGTTGTGAGGACATAATAGAGCTTAGTAAGATTTTGCCACTTTGTCAACATATCTTAGGCATAAAATAAGCAGGGGTGCCAGAAGGAAGCATTTGGGTTTCTTGGGAGTTGAGGGGGATGTGCCTCTGGGTTGGGAATTGTGCAGCGTTACAGTTAACTCATTGCACAGGAATTTTCTTGAGGTTGGAGGTGGCCTAGTGTCAACCTAACCTGTTCAGTGACCCACTTAATGCGGGAGTTTTTGAGTTGCGTGATGGATACTCTTAACAGCTCATAAGTGTTCTTCTGGTGCCCACCAGCTTTTGTGGCTTTTTTTTTTCTTCTGAGATTCTTTTAGCTATAACCCTTTATCTAGACAAAATAAGACAAACGAACATGCACCCTAACATACCAGCAGCAACCAAAAGGTGTTACTGTGGACTGGCCAAGAAAAGGCCTTGCATACCATCACCAGTTCTCAGCATGCATTCAACCAGCAGACTCCAATAAGTGGGGACTGTGGGTTGGAACTGAGGAAAGGACTAAACCACCATATCCCAGTAAGTGGGTACTGTGACCGAAACTGAGGAAAGGTATTCCAAACAACTGGGGAATTGTGGGACTGAACCAAGAGGTAGGGACTCAGCTTCCAGATGGAACTGTATGTCAGCTCAAACTGACCCACTAAGCCCGGGACTGAAAAGCTGGTTGGTTAGAAGTTCAACACAGATAGCAGAGCTCAAAACTGACAGGAACTTCCCAATTCCCAGTGGCCCCCAGAAATGGCTAGGAAAAAAGAGAACCCGAACAGTTCATGGGGTACCACACCTGTGTTTCTTGTTGTCCCCAAAGCTGTCAGAAGTCTTACTTGATCCTGCCGCTTTCACCAAATTAGTTAAATAACAAAACTTAAGCAGTAAATTTAAAGATCAAATTGGCCTTATTCAACAATTCATGAGCTGGGCAGCATCCCATCTAACAAATAGAAAGGAGCTCCACCAAGCTGTAGAAAAGGTTTTTAAAGGCAGAAAGAGGGTGGAAAAAGGAAATTATTAGCAAAGAATATATTGTTTTAGGCAAGATCACCTTCCCAAGGGGAATGGTAGGGATGTATGGATGGGTTAGCTCACTAATGCTGACTGGGTAATTTCGTGTTGATTGGCTAAAGGTTATGGTTCTTAGAGTTGAAACTGCAATTAGATTGGGTGATTTGGTCTTGGTTTGCTGACATGGGCTTTAGCATGAGTGACTCCCATTTTTGGGCCTGCTGTCTCCTTTTTAACAATAAGAATTTTAAGGGGTGGCATAAGCGTTTGGTCTATGGCAGTACTGTAGCTAACAAAGTTAAAGTAAGCAGAGTAGGACTCTAACATCATCTGCCACACAAGAGAGCCAGGATAGAGCATCTGAAGACAGTTACATTTGTAGGAAATCAGTCTGATGGTAGAAGGGGTAGGCAGTTGTTTCTATAGATTCATAATTTATATAATTAATTCATAATTTATATGTTAGTATAAATTTGTAAATGTAGGTCATTAATAAGTAAACTAGCCTTAGTTTAAGAGAATTACTATGAGTCTGTACAATAATATGAATTTTTCATAGCTCAACAGAAAGAGTAAAGCTCAGTAGTTGTCTTACACTTTTTTTTCTTGCTCCTAGATTTAAACAGTCGAGTTAAATCAAGCTGGGCAATCATGGCAGAAGGTGGATTCGATCCCTGTGAATGTGTTTGCTCTCATGAACATGCAATGAGAAGGCTGATCAATCTGGTGAGATGAATGGGATAGTCCTATTCAGAATTGAACTGTGTACCCCTTCTGTCCTATTTTTGTGGGCATGGGTTATTGGAGAATTTTCATTTGATGGTCACTAAAATTATTTCATAATTAAAATTCCACAGCAGTTTAAGTCATAATGGTCAAAGTGACTGCCAGCAATTCTTTTATTAGAGATAAAAACAGATTGTTATCTGTTTATGGTAAATTTATGGTGGTGGTATCACCGTCATAGGTAAGTAAAACGTGTGTATAACCTTTTCTGTTCTGTATTAAGGAATATGGTCTTTATCTATATGGAGCTTGTTTACTTGATAAATTGCTATATGAAGTCACAGTTCCTGTTGTGACATGGTTCAGATCCTACTCTAACAAATGACATAACAATAAAAATCTCTATACTCTATATAAAACATTTCCAAATCCAAATCAGTTATTCTATAGAGGCAGGTTCTGAACAATAAGCTTTAGATAGTCTCATTGAATTGATTGTTGTGAGGTTTGAATTTATAGGGTTTTTAAGACTTTCCTAAGTCTCTAGAATCTTAAATACAGGACTTTTAATGTATTATACTTTATACTTTTTATGTGCAAAAGAAGAAATTAACTATTATTAGCAATAAGATATATTATTATTATGTCAGACAACATTTTATTGTTCTAGAATACTCTTGTACAGAGGTATATTATCATAGACCAGTTAATAAAGCCAGGAATAAACATTTGTTCAAATATTTGAGTTTTTGGTGGTTAGTAAGCAGGTTTTCTGCTGACGCAGTGTCTATATATAGTGATCAGAAGTGTGATTTTTGTGAGTGATATTCCTCTTAGAGTCAGCATGTGCTGGGACTTATGATCCTAAAGAATGTCTTAGAGGGAAATCAATAAAATAAGAACTTATAAATTAGACTCGTGGCTATAGAGATAAAATGGCAGAATCATATCTCTGATAACTTGATGTGAAAATAGATGAGTCTGAGGAGAGAATATTTAAAATATATTCTCCTATTCATGATGTTACATAGCTGATAGTTTTTATGTCTAAATTTAAACATAAGGCATTTTTTTTTTCCAAATTACTGTGATACTAGGAACAAAAAAATAACTTGAATTTAACTGGTAAATTTTCCCAGGAGATCAGTTTTTAATAAGAATTACTACCTCTTTTTTTTCTTAGTATAGTATTTTTATTGTTAACATAGTATCATGCTTTTTCCTCTTAGCTCTGCTGGGGTTTTTTTTGTTTTGTTTTGTTTTTAGAGATAGCTAAAACTAAGCCCTACTTTTTATGATTCCTTGTACATTTCTGTCCTCTTTAGTAGACTGCCAATGAAACCATACTTAGCTTTTGCTTTGTTTTGTCTTTAATGCATACATTCATGCCTGATGGAACATTGTTTATAGCAATCCTAGCGGAAAGTACTTTATGTGAATATAGATTTTAGATTTTACAAACCTTTAAAAGTTTACAGTTTTTAGTCTGTGCTGCATATTTTCACATGCTATAAATCAGTGATGGGTGATCCTGGATGGGTGATCTGCTGGTGTATAACATGCTGATAAGCAGAGTTGAAGATGCCAGAAGGGAGGAGAAACTCATTTGATTCAATAAGGAAACTTGCAGATTAGGCTTGATAGACATTTGTTTGATTTGAATTGTGCTTTATAATTTTTATTTCTTTTATTTAACTCCTAATCAGGCAGCATTTGGTGGCCATATTTACCTTGTAGCTATTTTATTTTTTATTTTATTAACATATTATTTCGTTCAGGGGTACAGGTCTGTGAATCACAATTCACCGCAATCACCGTAGCACATACCCTCCCCAGTGTCCATCACCCAGCCACCCACCCCCTCTTCCCCACCCCCCAACAGCCCTCAGTTTGTTTCCTGAGATTAAGAGTCTCTTATGGTTGTTTCCCTCCCCAGTCCCATCTTGTTTCATTTTTCCCTCCCTTCCCCCATGATCCCCCAAATTCCTCATATCAGAGAGATCATATGATAATTGTCTTTCTCTGATTGACTTATTTCACTCAGCATAATACCCTCTAGTTCCATCTACTACCTAGTAGCTATTAAGTGCTTTCTCAAAATGTTTTTTTCTGAAAGAGTATCTTTTAAAATAAGATCTCTAATTTCAGAAATTCAGAAATAAGGTCTAACTTCTCTAAATTCAGTAATGTGTAATAGTCTTTAGTGTAGCATTATTTCTGATAGTGAATAGTTTAAAAACACACCTAACTGCCTACCAGGAGGGCAGTGGTTATATCTTGTATGTTCATATGATGGAATCTTATACAGATGTTTGAAATAATTATGTCTTTATTTATTTTTAAATATTTTATTTATTTATTTGACAGAGAGAGAAATCACAAGTAGGCAGAGAGGCAGGCGGGGGGGGGTGGGAAGCAGGCTCCCTGCTGAGCAGAGAGCCCTATCGGATCCCAGGACCCTGAGATCATGACCTGAGCCGAAGGCAGAGGCTTAACCCATTGAGCCACCCAGGCGGCCCAAAATAATTACTTCTTTAAAGAATATATAATAACATAAGGGAAATTCATATATGAAGTGGATAAAAGCAAGATATAGAAATGGCATTTAGGGGGCGCCTGGGTGGCTCAGTGGGTTAAAGCCTTTGCCTTCGGCTCAGGTCATGATCCCGGAGTCCTGGGATCGAGCCCCGCATCAGGCTCTCTGCTCGGCAGGGAGCCTGCTTCCTCCTCTCTCTCTGCCTGCCTCTGCCTACTTGTGATCTCTCTCTCTGTTAAATAAATAAATAAAATGTTTAAAAAAAAAAAAGAAAGAAATGGCATTTAGTACGGTCTTGCTTTTCTGTACCCACATATACCATATATATGTGTACACAGGAAAAAAAGACTTGAAGAAAATATGTCAATATGTTAACATTGTTTATCTCTGGATTGTAGAATATCAACTGAGGCTTTTTTAAAAAATAGTTTTCTGTATTTTCTGTGATAATATATCTTATAATCAGAAAAAGGTTATTTAATGAAAACTATCTTTTTTTCATTCAAGTGTTGTCAGCTTATAACATACTAGGCTTTTCTACCTCTCACTCATTCTGTATCTTCTACTCTTATACTTTTTAGTATATTTCTCTTATTACTCTGTGGAAGTCTAACTCCCCAGCCTTTATTTTATTTTATTATTATTATTTTAAAGATTTTATTTATTTATTTGACAGAGACAGAGATCACAAACAGGCAGAGAGGCAGGCAGAGAGAGAGAGGGGGGAAGCAGGCTCCCGGCTGAGCAGAGAGCCCGATGCGGGGCTCGATCCCAGGACCCTGAGATCATGACCCGAGCCGAAGGCAGAGGCCCAACCCCCTGAGCCACCCAGGCGCCCTGGCCCCAGCCTTATTTTAAAAGCAGTTTATCCGAGGGTATAATTTTTCTGTATTATTTATAACCACCATGATTTAGATGTCTACATGTTCAGGAAACTCATGGATATAATAATAAGGTATTACAGTATGATGATAGAGCAGAAATTTATTTTCATCTTTCTAAAAATGGACATTTAATTCATCTTTGCAAGAGGGTAATATCTTATTAGTTTTAGGTACTAATTTGGAATTTTTGTTATTTTTTACCTCATATAATCAAATTGGATTTTCTTGTAGGTTAGAGTATTACCAATTCCTAAGGATTAAAGTGCTGATAGCAAGTAAAAACCTGGGGAAACTTGAGGATTTTTTTTTTTTAAGATTTTATTTATTTATCTGATAGAGATCACAAGTAGGCAGAGAGGCAGGCAGAGTGAGAGGGGGAAGCAGGCTCCCCGCTGAGCAGAGAGCCCGATGCAGGGCTCCATCCCAGGACCCTGAGATCATGACCTGAGCTGAAGGCAGAGGCTTAACCCACTGAGCCACCCAGGCACCCTGAAACTTGAGGATTCCAGTGAGCGTTTATGGTTAGCTTATTAGTTGGATGCTGGTCTGCAGTTTAGTTTTGCCTGTTCTGGGGGAATAGATGGGCTTTGCCAAGGGAGGTATTCAGCTTAGGAGCAGTTAAGATTTTATCATTATTTCCTTTCTATTTCAATAAAGTTCTATTCATTCACAATTTAAGCTAACTGCTTTCCCTAATTCAGTAACAATATCAGTTAAGGTTCTTTATTATAGGTTATAGAAGTTCTGGCTGAGTTAAGCAGAAAAAGACGTATTAAAAGGAAATCATGTGGCTCACACAGGAGAGCCTGGCACAGAAAATGAATAGGATCAAAGAGAGGGTGAGTGCCAAAACAAGAAAGAGCCAAAGTCGTGCCGTAGAACAAGAGCAGCCAAGACGCTGCTTGCTCCCGAATTCCAGAATTTTGTATGTCCAAGTGTTGATGCAGCATCTCCATCTAGATAAGTAGTGAGTGTCTTACTGTTAATATGCACATTACCAGACTTTTTTTCTTGCCCCCAAGCTTAAACTTTCTTGACTTCTCTATTCACTCCATTGTTCTGGTTGCTTAAGCCATACCTTTTGTGTCAGTGTTTACTCTTTCAGCCTCATAGCTAATGCAGAAACAATCCTTTTGTTTCAACCTTGAAAATATATCCAGAATCCAGACATTTCTCATACTTCCAGTGCAACATCCTGGTCTTTCATATTTTATACTGGTGAATCAATGGATATTGTTTAAAACTGAAAAATCAAGGGGCGCCTGGGTGGCTCAGTGAGTTGAGACTCTGCCTTCAGCTCAGGTCATAATCTCAGGGTCCTGGGATTGAGCCCTACATCGGGTTCTCTGCTCGGCCAGGAACTGCTTCCCCCTCGCTCTCTGCCTGCCTCTCTGCCTACTTGTGATCTCTCTCTCTTTGTCAAATAAATAAATAAAATCTTAAAAAACCCTGAAAAATCAAGAAGAAGCAATAATGTGTATTTATATATAAAGACATGGAGATAAATACGAAAATAATCACCTAAAAGTTGAAAGTGGTTGCCTCTGTAGGAGGGGAAGTGGGTGGCGGGGGGATGGGAA